CGTATTCTAGATCAGAGCAGAGTGAATCAGGTGATGAGGATCTTTCCATTGTAGTTGTAACAGAACTAGCCTGAAAGATCCTCAGTGAGTGGGAGGAATCCGATCTAAACATGTCTTCAAGCAATACCTCTTCTGGCGCTACTGGTCTACATTTTGTTTCAGAATGACGTGATGGTAAATCAGCAGCTTTATCTTCAACAGGATCTTCTGAATCAGCTAGAGAAGATTGTGGCCTGGTTCTATAAAAGTGGCAGTTTGCCACCCCTACATACTGTGGGTCACAGATTTGAGACATGAGCTTGCAGTGGTCTGCATCAAAAGCTAAACCACAGACTGGTATAGGATGTTGTGTTAAAGATGAAGATTTGTCCTGACGAGGTGAAAATACCAAAAACTCATTCTCTACATCAGCACTTTCATAAGCTGCTGTTTCAGGCATTTCAACAGTTCCCTCTTCTACACTAACTGCTGTTTGAATCACCAACAGCTGCTCGTTATCACTAACGGAGCCAAGAGAATCAGGAGATACTGCTCTTTTCTCAAAAAGCAATGGCATAGCCTCATACTCTGTATCTGACAGCATAGATTCTGATGATGATGATGAGTGGTAATTAATGGTAACAGGATAATTCACACATGATATATATTGTGGTATGGGAGAGTCTATGGACAAGTCTTCATTTAATGCCACAGACTCAGGGGAGTACGATCTAATATCTAACATTGCTGAGTCTGGAGACATTGGCCTGTATTCGGTTACCGACTCTGGAGAAAGCGGTCTTTCCTCAGTACCAGAAAGTGAAATGATAACCCAGTTGTCAACATATTCAGATACTAACTCCATTGGTGTTGCTGGTTTGTTCTCATTTTCAGGTACATTCTGTCCGAGCGTCAGCATCTTTTCAAAATTATCCTCATCATCAGGATGACCAGCTAAAGGCTGATTTGTATTTTGGGTTTCATTCATGCTACTCATGAATTTCACATCAAGACTGCCTGCATAAGAAGTGTGGTGCACATCACTCTGAACCACAAACTCTGAAATGTCTTTATCAGCCTTTGTTTGCCCGTCACCTGCATGAACCTCATCGTTCCTGACTTCTTGCTTTGTGTAATCAGGGGAGTAAGTTGTAGGTAATAAAGACACATCCTCACTATCTGAATCCACAATCTCAACATCGCATCCATACAGGACCTTATAAAGTCGGCATGAAACGTCATCCATGTGTTTTGGGGCCATTTGTTTTGCTTGGGTGCATTCTGTCATCACATTGAGGGGATAAGAAGGGAGTGCAGTAGTCGGTTGAGTGGGAAGCATTTTTTCACCAGTATGTTGTTGTGTAAGGTGTAGTTCTTCATCACTTTCTGTAAGTTCCATCAACAGTTTCTGAAAGTCTTGCTCCACTTGCTCACACTCGATCAAACTGTCTCCAAAATCAGCCATTGACAACGGTCGACTTTCGCATACACCCGTCTGAGAACTGTCGGATGTCTCTGCCCAAGGCAATGGTGACAAATGATGAGCTTTGTCTCCAGAGTAGGGTCTTTGCAGACACTCTAAGCTCCAATCCTCTCCTCCCTCGGCCCCCTCATCCTCAGCAGCCCCTTCATGGTCACATCGTTCAAAAGTGGGGAAGGTGGACGTTGGGGCACATAACTTGGGTGCCCCTTTGTACATAGGGTGTAGCACATGGGATCGGAGGTTATAGGGAGAGGTGCAGTACAATGTGAAGAAAGGACTTACTTGTTTAAAACTGCCAGTGTGTACCAAGTCTGTCATTTCCTCATATGTTCTTTGTGATAAGCTGCAAAGAAAAGAAAATGTAGAAATGCAGTGCTGAGACAAATGACCAAAATAACCCAGCATCGGCCTAGTCGCTCATATTACTGTAAAA